ATCAGAAGACATCCTTACATTAAAATGAGGAATTTTATTTGATTATTCTAGGCAGTTCTTTTCATACAAAAGAAGTGAATATACATACATTTCATTCTGGCCTAAACTGTTAAAGCAAAAGATAGGTAAGTAATGTCGCAATATCATGCCAAGGAGAAAATCCACCAGACAATAAACAGAGCATGGATGCATCTTCTGAAGGGCCTTAGGTTCATACACATTTCAACTTTATTTAAATTTCTAATAACTGGTATTTTAAGTGATGTTTTCTTTTTTTTAAGATTCTATTTATTTATTTGACAGAGAGAGACACAGCAAGAGAGGGAACACAAGCAGGGGGAGTGGGAGAGGGAGAAGCAGGCTTCCCGCTGAGCGGGGAGCCCGATGCAGGACTCGATCCCAGGACCCTGGGATCATGACCTGAGCCAAAGGCAGACGCTTAACGACTGAGCCACCCAGGCGCCCCTAAGTGATGTTTTCTACAATGAATTTTGTTCCACCCTTTTAAGAGAACTAAACTTTAGGCGAAATATATCCTTATTAGTACCAATGAGAAAATATACCATTTGTTCATTCATTTAGTTATTATTTATTGTGATTAGGGATAGTGCTTCAGTGCTTTTGTAATAAATAATATCAATCACTAATATTTTTTACTATGTTCGGTTAGCCAACAAAGTCACCAATCTTTTAAGTGATACTAGAGATAGGGATCATTATATCCTCACTTTTCGGAGACTCTGAGAATGTAAGTATTGTCCCGAAGGCCATAAAGCTTATTATTTGCAATGCCAGTAAAAAGTGCTATTGTTCATTAACTATCCTACTTCATTTTAATAACCGCCACCCAGTATTTAGAAATTTTTGTTTCACTTTTGGAGCTTAAGAAACATGTATTGAATAAATGTATAAATGAAATATATCAATTATTAAATTTATGTATTTGGGGATATTATTCCTTTCTTTCTTCACCTGGGATATCCCAAAGAACCAATTTAATAGAAAAATGCATTTAAACTATTGCAGGAAACTTAAAATGCTTTTGGTTTAAGTAACAGCATACCTGCCATCAGTGGCTGAAATATATGGTTATATTAATAAATGTTGAATGACAAGAAATTCAAAGGTTAATTCAGCAGCTCACCCATGTCAAGCTTTTCCATCATTTATGATTCTCTCAACTCCTCCCTCATGATCATGGGAGGCTGCTGCAAGCCTCACAGTCACATACAACAGGGGTTCAAAGGCAAAGGTGGGAAGGGAGGGAGGGGTGCACCCCTTATGCACCTCTCCCTTTCAATCACAGAGAAAACTTTTCCTCAAAATCTCTCAGCAGAGTTACTGTTATGTTTTTTTAGTCTAAACAGGATCACATGGTTAATCCTAAATCTGGTTAAAAAGGTATAGTATTAGTATAATTGACTAGATCAATCACTAGTCATGCTCCGTTCAGAGTACATTTCTTCCCCCCAATGTGAATAAAATCAGAATTCTGTTTGCAAAACTGAATGGAGGGATGACTAGTTGGTAGGCAACCAGCAGCAGCAGGGGCTATGTCCTTAGGACTCTCTCTGTGCCACACGGTGGGCAGAGCACTCATTCTTCAAACATCTTAGGGACAGAACATATGTTCAATACTGTAATTGCTTGTCTAGACATCATGACACAAATACATACAAGAATAATAATTCACACAAACCAAGGCAAAAGGTATTTTTATTTTTCCCATTAATCAATAACAAAAGTAAGAGTTAGAGAACATAATTACCTTGCCCAGTATCAGCAAATCTCAGCCATCTCTTCAAAGAAGCTGAGAATAGCTATGACTCAAGTTCATGTATCTCTGGCTCCAAAGCCGGAGTTCTTAATGACTAAGACACATTACCCAGATGTCACTTGAGGACTGCCATTTAGAGTAATTGAGATAAATTCTTGTTCCATGTGTTTCCTTTCTTTACTGTATAACATTTTTAATAATCGACTGCTGTTCCTTTGGAATCAGAATTAATATCTATTAGAACATAATGCTGTGCTAAGTATCATATGTATTGTGAACACCAAGATCTAGTTTCTGTCTTCTCAGAGATAACAGGCCACCTGAAAAACTGGCAGGGTGGGGCAGGACAGGTCTATATTTTCAGGCTGAAAAGGATCTTAGCAAAATTCCCCTCTCTCTCTGTCTCTCTGTCTCTCTCTCTCTCTCTCACACACACACACACACACTCTTGACCTTGACCAACAGACAACCTTCATAAAAACTAAATATAATGTCTCAACTATTGTCTTGGAAGTGAATAAAGACTTGCCTCTCCAGGCTACAACTTTGAATATACAAGTGTTGTTAATGACTACAAATGCCTAGAAAACATCTAATAAAACCAAGTATCTTTCAATCAATGATAGATTAATTGAATTTAATATGGTGGGATAGGAAAAGTCACAGTAATTAATTACCCTTATAAGTTTGTGAATGCCTCTAAGTGTGATGTATAGTATCACACTTGCGTATTTTAGTTAAGCGTCTTGTTATTAAATTACCCTGAAACATCAATATTGGAGGTTATAGAGCTCATTTACTATTTATCTGTGTTCTAAGATGGAAGGTCACCTTTTAACATTTAGTTCTTATATTTTGAAATGTGCTTGTGGCTACTGATATCAACCTTAAAATAATGCAATGATGTTACCTAACGAAATAATAGCAATCAATTCCCACAAATATCTGGAGATATTAAAAATATGCTGCAAAATAATCGATTGCCTAAATTATATTTTATCACCCAGTAGCTAGTAAACCTAACTTAATTGCATGATGAGTGCTACCTATCATCTCTTCTCTGATTTCAAATTTAGCAGCCTCTGAAGCATTGTTCATTTGTTTGCAAAATGTTACAGACATACACATTAGCTCTTTTGGTGGCATAAAAAAATCCACCTTCTTCTGAAAGCTGTGCGACTTTCGCAAAGAGTTAGTGTTTACTATCATTCCCCTAAAAGCACTTCTAATTGAAGAACCAGGAGTCTGCTGCACACACATGTGCACATGTGTAATTCTCTTTATAAGAGTTCATTTTGGGGGTCAGTATCAAGCCAATTGATAAATGAATTAGGGCTTCATAAACATTTTTTTTCCAGGGGTGAAATAAGAGAGACAAAAAAACCAGAGAGGTAGGAAGCATGCCTAATACATATCACAAACTGTCCTAGACTCTAACATAATCTATCTTACAAGTGAGACCATCTCAGAGCAATAGTGGGAATGGTAGCAATTTCTTCATGGTGTTGGAGGTAAATAAAAATAATTACATTCAAAAATACTACTATAGGCACACCTCGGTGACTCAGTCGGTTAAGTGTCTGACTCTTGATTTTGGCTCAGGTCATGATTTCAAGGTCGTGTGAGCCCTGCGTTGGGCTCAGCACTGAGCCTAGAGCCTGCTTGGGGTTCTCTCTCTCCCTCTCACTCGCCCTCCCTCCCCTCCTCTCTCTAAGTAAATAAATAATATCTTTTAAAAAATACTACTAAATTATTAAGTGTCTATCATGTGCCAAGCATGGGTACTCCGCAAGTATGCTGTCATCTTAGAGCTTACAAAAATTATATAAATGTTGTCGATATGTAAGTTTGTCTACGTTGGGCCCTCCTATGTACTGAAAGTTAGCCAGGTACATAGCACATTTTAACAAGCAAATTTTGCTTTGGCTTTGTTACTTCAATCTCAATTGCCTTAACAATTAGCAGGGAATTAAACTCAAACAAAAAAGAAATTTGGTCCCTCTTGAATTTCTAATCATAATTACATTTGGAATATTTTCCAACATAGTTTAGAGTTTTCTTTCCAAGCTTTCTTTCCTTCCCTTTTTAGCCATTTTCAATGAAGAGCTTTTAATGTTGTGTTGCATACATATTCTGTCTTTTAAAAAATATATATTAGAATTATATCTGTATTAAAAAAAATTCAGATTGGGCATGCCCATTACCTTGAACTCAATTGTTGTTCTGTGCAGCAATGCTGTGTGCACTAAGAACCCAATCAATATCATTACCGTTCTTGGTACATATTAATGACCCTTTTGGTCTCCTATTCCCACATAACTTTTATTCAATTGACACTGACATTTGCATGTCATATGTGTGGAAACTAGATAATCAATATGCTAAAATCCCCACCCCAACCCATCCCCCAAAAGAGGTACACGTTCTGAATAATAGCTTAAGACAAGAGTCAGAAAATTATTTCTGTAAAGAGCTAGAGAGTAAATTCTTTAGCATTTGTGACCATTCCCTATGGTCTTTGTCCAAATTACTGTATTCTGCCCTTTTAAAGGAAAACAGCCAGTGAACATGTAAACAAATGGGTACGGCTATGTTTCAAAAATTGCGCAATGAGCCTACATTCACATTAAAAAAATAGGCACGTTTAGATTTTTTTTATGACCAAGAGTGCTCCAGTTGGAGAGAAATTCCTAAAGATGACAATTATAAATTCCAATCAAAATACAGGACAGGGGCTCCTGGGTGGTGCAGCCGGTTAAGTGTCTGACTCTTGGTCTTGGCTCAGGTCGTGATCTCAGTGTCCTGGGATGGAGCGCCATTGTCGGGCTCTGTGCTCAGTGTGAAGTCGGCTTGAGACTCTGTCTCCCTCTCCTTCTGCCCCTCCTCCCCACACTATCTCTCTCCAAAATAGATAAATAAATCTTTAAAGAAATATATAGGACAAAATAACAAAGAAAAAAAACAAATAGTAACAATCACCCAAAGATATCAGTGAGTGAATAAAGTAGATAGATTTTTAATGTGAGTCAACACTGTAAAGAATATGTGGCACAAGATAAATTTTCATTTTTAAGACATTATTCTGATGAAAAGCTTTGATCAATATCATGCAGGATAGTAATATTTCTGATAGAAAACCTGGAGGCAAACCATAAGACACTCTCAACTACAGAAAACAAACTGAGGGTTGCTGGAAGGGAGGAGGATTGGGGGATGTGCCAAATGGGTGATGGGCATTAAGGAGAGAATTTGTTGGGATGAGCACTGAGTGTTCTATGCTAAGTGTGAATCACCAAATTCTACTCTTGAAACCAGTACTACACTATATGTTGGAGGTAATTAGGATCCAGTTGACCTTAGAAGATGGGACTATTAACCAATGGTATGAAAAAAGAGTTATTTAATTTCATTAAGCCTGTAGGCACATAAAAAGGAATGATGTGAAGGAAATTTTGGCAGACCAAGGACCTGTTGTGACAGATAATTAAGAGAAACGAAGAATTCAAAAACCTTGGAGAGGCAGGTGCTTTTAACTAGACTAACTTCAATATACAAGCTCAAAAAAGTAGGATTCTACCTTTCATTTGAATGGTTGGCTGATATTTCCAAGATCTATAATAAATGAAATTGAGGTGCCCAAAATTCATTGAAAGTTCCAAAGATTTAGTGATATAGAGTTGATAGAATAGATTTATTATGAGCAACACACCCAAACAGCCCTTAATCCTAACTCTAGAAAGGCTGTATTACGGACTGAATGTTTGTATTCCCCAAAATTCATATGTTGAAGACCTATGTCTTTAAGAACTTGCTGCTATCAACCAAGGTGATTATGCAGTAAAGAAAGAGAAATGTCCAGATTTTTCAAGATTTATTTGACATGGTCTCAGCATTAGTTTTCTATTGCTGCTTTAACAAATTTCACAAATTGACGGTATACACCCCCACAGACAAAATTATGGTTCTGAAAGTCCTATGTCTGAAAAGGGTGTTTCTGGGCTAAAATGAAAATGTCAGCAAAACTTCCTTCCTTTCTGGAGGCTCTAAAGGAGAATCTAGATTTTTCTTGTTCCAGTTTCTAAAAGCTGCCCATATTTCTTGGTTCCTGGCCCACTTCTATATTCAAAGCCAATAATTACTGGTCAAGACTTTTTCATATCACAATTTGACATAATCATGTGCATCTCTTCCATTATAAGGACCCTTGTGAGTATATTGGGCCTACCTGAATAACCCAGTATAATCCTCCCATCCCAAGGTCAGTTAATAGGAGTCTTTATTCCCTCTACAACCCTAATTCCATAACACACCCACAGGTTCCAGAGAGTAGGATATAGGTACATTTGGGTGATCATTATTTTGTCTACTACCAGGCTCTAAACTAACAACTAATTTCTGGCCACATAGGCTATTATGGTAATCTAGCAAAGAAAGGGGGAATTTATGAGGGTCAAATAGTAAGTAGAGTTTGACTTGAGATGTTCTCATAGTGATCTTAGAAGGCTGGTAATATCATGACATTGGTTCCCTAACCCATGAAGTAAAGGTTATTTTAAAAGAAAAAGGCAAGTGAGGGGCGCCTGGGTGGCTCAGTTGGTTAAGCGACTGCCTTCGGCTCAGGTCATGATCCTGGAGTCCCAGGATCGAGTCCCACATCGGGCTCCCTGCTCAGCAGGGAGTCTGCTTCTCCCTCTGACCCTCTTCCCTCTCATGCTCTCTATCTCTCATTCTCTCTCTCTCAAATAAATAAATAAAATCTTTAAAAAAAGAAAAAGAAAAAGGCAAGTGAAAGCTTCTAAAACCACATTTCTAGTCAAAGTAATAACGCAAAAGCAATACCCCCCTTCTGGGAGAATTGGGAAGATTAGGGCCCACATCAGAATTGAAAGGTGCACAGGTGGAAATATCTATTTCCTCTGCCTCTTGGGCCAAAGGGAGGTACAGAAAGCTCTTGCAGTTGCTGTTCCAAATTCAGTCTCTCTACTGAAGCAAAGTAACGCATCCTTTAGTTCACTTAAAACACACACAGTCACCCATATTTTACCTATATTTTGATTACATTTATATGCATATAATCAGCACAAATCACAGTAATATATAGAATATACACATACTTTCTCTATCCCTTTCTTCCTTTTCCTTGTGGTAATGTTAGAGTTGTGTCCAGAGGTTACTGGTTCTGAGCGACTCTTGGGGATGGGGGTAAGGGAAAAATTTCCACCCATAGTGGGAATATAAATACAAATTCTTAGCTATAGATTTTAATACTCCTGCCATGCAAGAGTTATGAAACCAAACCATCTTATAGTTAATAGAAACTTATCAGTTGGTTTCACAGCTTGGGCTAAGATGCGCACCTCCTACTTAGATGGTATGAGCATTTTCCTTGGAACATTTAAAAACAGTATCAGCAATGAAATTGGGAACATCTGCCAATGGTTTGCTTGAGAGTATTCTTCCTTGTATGCATAAAAATGGAAATAATAGTAAAACTGTAGGGCACCCCACAATTTGATATAAACAGCTTAATATGATCACATTTTAGCAGCTATTAATATAACTGTTGGAGTATCATATAAGCAAAGACTTAATGCCAAAGAAAGGCAGACTGTTATAAAAATATTTGATATCTTCCTGGAGCTAAAATAAAGCAATATGTAAGATTTAGGTTTATTGTTCCCCAAAACATCAACTGCTAGAGGATGTTTAGCAAAGAAGTTGTCCTTCCCTGAATTATGAAGTTGCAGAACAAATAAACCTGCAGGATGACAGAGTAAGATTGTTTCAGGGATACAGTTACAAGGATGTAATCTTCAGAGATTTCTTTGTAAAACTTATGAATGTCTAAGATAAATATTGCACTGTTCTCACCTTACATTGTTTTCTTTTCACATAAATGTTGTTAGAGATGATAGTGTGATTGAAACGTAACCTTCAAAATAAATGTTTAATAAATGTTTAAGTTCATAGGGCCAAATAATAAAAATCATGCCTACTAACAATAATTTGTAATAATAACTTATACAATAATTACAGACAGCCGAGAGTGGACTCCAGTATACTATTACAACACCCTCCCACCTTGAGAAAACCATTCCAATTGCATCTAGAAGTCTTTAAAAAAAAAATCTAAGTTTACACAGGCAAGCTTAAACTTTGCAAACTTATTTCGGTGGCACCAAGAATTATAATTACATTTCTTTAAATAAAATATATGAAACTAATAACACTTTACTTTTGTTCACTATATTTACCTCCTGGCATGAAATCAGCTTTCAGTAATGTGAGTACTATACAGCCTAGAGAAACACATATTATGCTGTCAAAGAGAATTAAGATAGATGAGAACTCATCCTAGCTCCTAAGGTCCACCATCACTTATAGTAGCCAGAGGGGGAAAAGATGGAAAGTTATTACCCAGGAGTACTCTGATTTTTTCTATTGTTTGTTTGGTACCATCCCCTCACACCCAATGCCACTGTTGAGCCCCAAGCATTAAGCTGAGTAAGGACAGTTCTAAATTGCATAAACAAACTAGAAATGGCTGCTTGTGTCTAGGTGGATGCAGGGCCAAGAAAACTTCAATCTGGGGTAGATACAGGTGAAAACAGTATTGAAGGTAAGTTCAGAAGAGTGAGAAAATGCACAAAAATGGAACATATGGTCAAAGATGAGAAAGAAGACTTGGCAATAAATAAGGAATACATTTATAGACCAACCCTAACTATATGCACTCCTAGTCATTTATTTTATTAGCACCTTTGACTGAGCCTCCCCATTTTCCTCATCTCCCTTCACTGCCAGATAACAGTAAAATAGTATTTTCGCTACCCAAATACTGAATTTTTAGCCTGAGATAATAGTAAAGTTTCCCCAAAGATTGCTTTGGCCAGGTTGAGAAGTGGAAAAACTCCATTCTTAATTTGGACCTACACAAGTCACTTAAACTTCTGAACCTCAGGATCCCCATTTGAACAGATGACATTTATATCTAAGGATTAACATAGTATGTACCATCTGTCTACCAGAGTGCCTGGTATATGAACATTCCATACAGTAACTATTTGTATTTGTATTTATGAAAACAATGGCAATCATAATATTAAGTCATATTCTTAGTGACCATTCACCTTACTCAAACTGATTATGACTTCCTTCCTATACATGCTGCTCTCTAGCATTCCGTCCCAGAGCACAGATACTAAGCAGTGAAGTTAAACTGCCAAAGAAAAGACTTAAAAGATCACTCTCCTAACTAAATGATATCACCCTTATTCTACTCCAAAAATTCATCTTTCATGATATAAGAATCTAACAATTTGCTATCTTTCTCCTGAGAGTGTTGTACTACTTAAGTGCCTAGATATTTTGGTCTGTGAAGAATATTTTTCTGAAGTACGAATTATTTGAAAGGAGAAAAGGAAGGAAGAAGGGAAGGAGGGAAGGAGAGAGAAAAGGAGGAAAGGAGGGGGAAGGAAGGGATAGGAGGGAGAGAGAAGGGAAAAGCAGGAGGGATTCCCCTTGTGAATAAATAGAGAAGGAATATAAAACAGATAAATTTACTAAGAGATACCATTATAGTCTTAGGGGCTACTGACTCTGATCTTGATTCAGTGCTTTTCCTGTGATAGATTTCATTGGCTTATGGAAGTAGAAGTTAAGGACCTGGGTCCTTCTAAGGATACAAACTATATCTAAGATCCCTAGCTATCAGTGGGTCCCCGTAATGCCTGATCACTTTGCAAAAGGAAAAACTAAAATTCCCAAAATAATTCCACTTGCAATAACGAGCATCTAGGTAATTTTGACCAACCTTCCTGCTAAAACAACTTTACAAGTAGGACAGATTAAAAATAAAATTCTTAGTTTTACTAGGTAAGAATAAGTTGGTAAGAATTAGCAGGCTGAGTTAAACCGGATGCTCTGGAATCCAGAGAAGTGAAGTGAGCCTTATACTTGGGCTGTGTTTGCTCTAAGGTCATTTTCCTTTCCAGAAGATGAAATCAGGAGGCTGAGCTGAAAATTTTACAGCCTCACAGGAGTAGGAGATCAAAAATCTTGATCTACTTGGTCTCTAGTTGAAGAACTACTGAATCATCCCATCACTGTAAGCAGATACTGAAATGGTTGTACCCTAGAAGATTAACTGGAATTAAACTATCCCTACTGTACCTAGCATTCAAATCATCCGGATAGACCAGAAAATATGAAATCAGATAAAGGAGAAACTGACTTACTAGTGTCCTTATGTGTCTAGAATAATTCCTGAAGGA